ATATCATCTTTTGCGTTCCACAGAAGAAAGTATGTCAGTTTGGAACAACATAAGGTTGAGTAATGATGACAGAATTGTCATTTTTGGTGAACTAACTCTTTTTAAGTATAAAAATGCTAAATAAATAGAGTTTGTATTTATGGTGGAATTTGCATGGCGATATAGCTATAATTAAATTAAATTGACACTGATTAAACTGTGTTAAGTCTGATTTTTAACAACATTAGTTTGACCAATTTAGAAATGAGCTGAAACAATATTGTTTGTACATGAAACTTCACTCAGAAATTGCTAGTATATTTCAAAAATAATTACAAAGTATCAGCAAGTAACATTTTTACAGTGATGGATTTTGTCTTCTAAGCTTCTAATTTCAGTTGTAGCACAATTTCATTTTCCAGCAGCTACTCGATTATCGCCCTCATTTATAACAGACTAATATGGGTTGAAAAATGTGTTAAAACACGTCCTGAGGAAAGGTTTCTTCGAAAATGTAAACAAAATAATAAAACATCACAAAACAATGAAAAACAAAGAGAAATGTTATAATATGATCATTTTAAAGCATTCTTTGTGAAAAGTTTAACTTTATTAATAATACTTGCTCTTTTCCTTACATTTATTTTTTACAATGTACTGTACTCTACAATACAGCATGAGAATTAAAAATGTAAAACAATGTTTTACCGCCATCTACTGGATAAAGAAAATAATCTAATATCCACAGTGGCCTTGACGTGTGTTTTATCCATAGAAACAGCAAGTTGTTGATGTGGCAATGAATGTTTCTAAACATTACTGAGTATAGTAAAAGATACAATTATGGCTTTAATAATACATATTAACCTCAACTACATAAATACACGTTGTGATTGTACACAAACAGGGCATGCAACATAAAAAAAGAGAATGAGGAGGAAGTATAACAGAGAAAGATTTCACTCAAATATTTCTACTGAGATAAAGTTGGTTTGACATAGGATATTAGACAGATATTCTGCCGCAAAAAAAAAAAAAAACTTAAAAAAAAATTCTTAGTGGATGAGTATAGTTGTATTTTTAAAAAATGGCTTATCTGAAAAGGGTGTTGTAACGCTTTGAATTTAATTCAATAGCATGTGTCCTGAATTACATATGACAGTAAAACCTGAATTAAAATGTTCATTTAGGAATCGGAAACCAGACACACCTTTTGAAGTTGAAAAAGAAGACTGATTTTAAATGAATTTCTTCAAAGTTTGAATTTCAAACTCAGTCAAAACAATTGCAATATCTTCCTCTACACTCTAAAAAATTTTAAATTTTTAGGGACAAACCCAGCAATTGGGTTGTTTTGACCCAGCGGTGGGGTTACTACCCAGAAGGTTGGTTAACCCAACCGCTGGGTCAAAACACCCCAATTGCTGGGTTTGTCCTTAAAAATTTAAATTTTTAAGGACAAACCCAGCAATTGGGGTGTTTTGACCCAGCGGTTGGGTTAACCAACCTTCTGGGTAGTAACCCCACCGCTGGGTCAAAACACCCCAATTGCTGGGTTTGTCCTTAAAAATTTAAATTTTTAAGGACAAACCCAGCAATTGGGTTGAATTTAACCCAGCATTTTTTAGAGTGTAGTTGGCAGTAATACCGGAGACTCTGGAAGGCTTCTCACGCTATTCTTGAATGTCATCTCTTTTGACAATGAAAACAACTGCAAAGTGTTCTTCAAGAAATCTGTAACAAGACATCCTTTCAAGTTGAGTTAGAATATTGTATATATTTTAAACTAATTAATGTATTGGTTAAATTTTCAATAGTATGTGTTCTATTGTAGTCTAGTTCTGTGGCTAAAACCACCATCAAACGTTTGTTCTAGAAACCAGTAACAAGACACACCCTTTGGATTTGTGATGTATTTTTCATACATTTATTACATTAAAAATCTCATTATCATTTAGCCTGCATTACTTATAATAGGCTATTAAAACAAACTAAAATCATTTAATTTAGGATGAAGTAACTGGACACGCCCTTTGAGTTTGACATTGATTGCCAAATATGTATTCTTTCCTAAATGTAAATATTATTATTCTTAATAACATTATTATTATTACTAATATTATTATTATTCTTTACAAGATCTAACATGTGTTGTTTAGCAAATGAGAGTTGTGTGTTTATGTGTGTGCATTGTAAGGCCTTGTACAATTTATTCACAAAAATACTCTACTTTAAGACATTTCCAACAACTACAAACATACTGTATAGGCCTAAGACCACTGCTATAGAGAAAACACACATCTATGTATGTGTGATTCAAGTCAACAGTTATGTATACACTCATACATAACTTTCCAGTGTGACAAACTAGCCCCGGTTTTTCCTACCTTATCTGAGTCTGTGGTGTACATTCAATGTGAAGTTTCCCAAAAGCATTGCAAGTGCATCGTAGAATTATCGCATGTCCTCCAAAGGCTTCGTAACCCGAGAAGTACCTGAAATCCATCGCAGATAGAGAGTGCCAGTGCATGGTGAGTCAAACACGTGCACCTGCAGGACAAACACAAACACCTAAAGGTGCACTCAGGTATTTTTATGTGCTGACACCTAGCGGCGGAGATGCAGCATCATTTGAAATAAGGTTGAGCTTCTGCACACATCACGTTAGAACAAGAAATGGCGCTAATCGACTGTTTCAATAAGAATCACAGAATTCAAACCGCTTTATTACTAATAAGCTATAGATGGCGCAACGTGCTTTAAAATGGTATAACATTTAGTTGTCATATTCATCAGTTTTAGTTATTACTTAAACGAAGACTGTTACTGCTGATTAACAGCACAATTCATGTACACATCCACCTTATATTTCAACGCAGAAGTAAGCCGTAAGTAACAGTGCAGTAAACGATAAAACTGTTTGCACTACAAGCCAGTATGTTCATAATTAAGATAATACATTCAAATAATATGGTAAGGCACACTGTTTTGTTCAGCTAAAAATAGCTGGAAGCGGATGACACCGGAAGCCAGACACATAAAATTTACAAATGGTTGCGCCCACTTTTATGGCCAAAATAAGGTTGATAGACTTTTTGCTTCCTTTGGTAGTTATGTGGTAATAGGCATGACTGGAACAGCTAAGGGAAATAACAGTAGGTTTGGAGTCCACACCAGAAACCATAGACGCCAGCGGTGACTCGCTTAGGGCAGCTTACTTTAGAAATATTCCACTTTCCTGTAACATTTCGCACATTGATGTGATCATATTGTAAAGGAAGTGACTCAGGCTTTAGTTTCAAAAGCTTAACAGTGCCCTCATTATCACAACTTTGAGCAAACAGCACAGAGATAAAGACTGAATTTTAAAGCATTCACAATAAAGCTGATTATCACCTTTATGATGATATCATCAGCATATCCTCCATACTTATAAGCCAGACTTGACTTGAATCATGCTCAGCTTTTGGAGTCTTCACTGCCCTCTGGTCCTGAGAGAGAGAGAGAGAGAGAGAGAGAGAGAGATGTCACCTTGGGTTTGTACTTTGATATGACAAGGTTTGCCGTGATCGGTTCATTTAAAACCAGAGGATAGGAGAAATTCAACACATTGCAATTAAAATAATTCAAGAAATCAGTGTATAAATAAGTTACTTTATTTAAATAGTCTGGTGTGAAAAACTACACCAATACTGTACATTTTAGAAGTGCATGTTTCCTCAGCAGATGAAATCAAAGTCAGTTAACATTAGCCTTCACACAGAAAATATCCAAGTCATTTTGTTGAATGGACAAAATATAAGTAGCTGAAAACATAAACAGGGGTCTGATAATGTCAAGATTATAAAAAGTCTAATCACAAATCACAAAAACAACAAGTGTACTCAACGTTTGGTACAAAACATATGCAACACAAGCATGTTTTTTTTTTGTCACGTCTTGAATGGTTTAAAAAAAAAAAAAAAAAAAAAGCAAAATGCATTCTTCACTTGAATAGAATACTAACCCCTGGGCCAAGTCCTTTCCATTTATGCCACTACATTAGTACTGACAAGGAGTTTTGACCACCATACTTCTTATTGGTGTAAATAACATGGCATAGTCCTCGACGAATAGCCAATAAAAGCCAGCAGCTGTTAATTATCTGGAATTCAGGTGAGAGTTAATTGCTAATACTAGTCTTACACTCAGTTATCATTTTTCAGCAATATCTGAATTTATACTGTTGATGTATAATGTCTTAGGAAAAAAACATTCACCTTTACCATTGCATGTTTCAGAGAGGGAAAAATAAGACCAGCTTATACTCTGGGTACACAGTGTTAACAGTGTAACAGTTCATCCTATTCCTTCATAAAAGGATACTGCACACTCTAATTTAACAATACAGCAAGGAAATAATACAACAAAGTACATGGACATCAATAAATAGGGCAGCACAATTGGGAGGAAAAAACAATTGTAATTTAAAATGCAATTTAAAAAAGCTCCAGGTTTGTTGTGCTTATCAATATGACTAAATAATAAGACCAATAATACAAGCAAGCAAGAAATATTACTATTGTAATAGATCATTGTAAAATAGAATATATTTATTACTAATATTTTTATTTTAAGAACAACTGTAAAATTACAATACTAATTTTTATGGCTTAATTGGCTTCTTAATTTCAATCGTTAAACCATCTACCATAGATTTTATTTTGGCAGAAAACCACAGGGAGACTTTTTTTTTATTTTTTTTTGTTAAAGTCAAAATCCCAACTTCAGTTTCATTTTGATTAATCGTGCATCCCTACCAATAAAGGACACTTTCAGAGCTGTTCTGCAGTTTCCAGCAGTGGTAAACCAATACTTTTTGTTTTTCTTTGTGCATAGTCCAAATACATACCAAATACATACATACATACAAGTATGGATACATACTTATCCAATCCCTAAACAGACCAGCAATTCGTAACACTGATGAATCAGTTCAGTCAAACCACATATCAGTTTATATCCAGCCTTTCCTTTTTTCCCCACTTTAAACAAGCAAACTTCAGATTCTAACCACTCAATCACTAATAACCACTAGGAGTCTGATTCTTTGAAAAACCTCTCAAACTTGTCTAAGTACTCAGGCCGATGAGGAAGGAGGAAGTAATGGGTACTGCTGACTTGCTTACCATCCTCCATGATGGGTAGAATACAGGGGCTACGGGGAGCCGGCAAGCCCTCACAGCTCTGCTTGTGTTGAGCCTTACTGACATACTCCGGATAGGGAGCAAAGCTCTGAGTAGGAGGCATTACCCCGTTGATGTAAATCGGGAGACTTTTTGGACTAATGGCACGCGGTATGACCTGAGGGATGGGCTCCCTGGGCGGCACTTTGGGAGGTTTGTCCACATCAAAGTCATCGGTTGACCGCCACCTGCTGTCCGTGCTCTCACTGAAGCGAGGACAGATTGGGACGCGAGGCGGGACTTCAGGTTTCTCCTGCGGGTGGCTGTGGGGAGAAAGGTGAAGGCTGGTCGGCCAGAAGTTGGCGGCCTTAAAGGATCCGGCAGGGCCAGAATAGGAGCGATGCAGCCGGCGCTGGGGTCTGTCTTGATTATGCGTTACTGTCTGCTCCCACTGAGGCTTCACCCCGCATTGATGTTCTCGTAACCCTTCATGATATGCAAAGTTTACCTGACCGTTTCCCCGAAAACTGCGCCTCCCCGGTAAGCCATACTGGAAAGACGAGGTTTTAGGCACTAGACACTGGCTCTCAGAGGTGCTGGAAAAAAACTCCACCTCGTTGTCTTCTGCTTCATCAGAGGACTGGTCGTCCATGTCCGGGAGGGGTGGGAGGGGCTTAGTTGTTCTCGTGGGCGAACAAGGGGGCATGTGTTCATAAACTGACAGTTTCTGTAAGGACGGAACCACCTGGTCTCCCGCAGGTGGGTGGCACTGAGAGGAAAACAGCAGCTGTGTAGGATTGGGAGTCTTGGGAGATAGACATTGAGGAGAACAAGAGCCAGACGTCCTTCCTGTGAAGTAAAACACAGAGAAAAGAAAATGAGGATTTGAGCCCAAACCCTCTAACATGACGTATACACTGAATGGTGTCATAAACCTCATTGAAGTTATTTTTCAATGGGTCTATCTCCTGAGATGGTGTCAGCCTCAACATAGGGAGTTTATCAAAGGATTCACTTATCAGCAAAGCAAATGACAATCGTACACTTCCTATAACCTTCTGCGCTTCCTGAGAAACATCCGCAACAGGCTTCGAGAACAGAGGGAGACTAGATTGTGATATAGTTGATAAAATTCAATATCAAGCACTCACTCACTTTCAAAGCCCACGTTTGCAGAGTTTTGTTGATACATTCTCAAGCTGTGGTCCATGGACTCCGAACCAAATCCAAAAAACAGCCTACAAAAGACAAAAATGGAAGGCGTCAATTCTGGTGACTGGAGAAGTAGATCTATCATAATACAGTCGGTTGAGCTGAGGATTGCATTTACACTCACTTATCCATGGTGTCATGGTCATGGTGTTGATCCCAGTATGGTTGGCCTGAGGCCATAATGTTTAAGAGTGTGGAGGCTAGTTCAGGCCTGTGAGGGTGTCCACCTTCCTTGAACCTGCGGAACTCATAATCCAACCATGGGTAACAAAGACAGGCTTTTTACACTCCACTTTTCCAACAGCAATGGGAGAAACTGTATGAAGAAGAAAGTAGAAAAAAAGTTGTTTGAATATAGGTGACAGCAGAAAATATTTTAAAATATAAAATAAAATCATCTTGTCAAAATGTTAATTTTTGTAATAAATAAACAGACAAATAAATCATTAAAAGGTTATCTTCATTCAAAGCCAAAGTCACAAACTAAATGTTCCTTTTAAAAAGGGACCACTTTTAAAAGAAGTGAATACTTCTATTCAGCAAGGACACACTAAATCGATCAAAAGTGACAGTAATGACACTTAAAATTTGACCAAAGATGTTTGATTTCAAATAAATGCTGTTATTACTTTCAATGAATCCTGAAAAAAATTATCACGTTTACACAAAGATTTTAAGCATCACAAATTTTTTCAACATTGATATTAAGAAATGATTGTTAAGCACCAAATCAGAATATATTAGAATGATTTCTGAACAATCATGTGATACTGAAGACTGGAGTAAGCTTTGCCATCACAGAAATAAATTACATTTTAAAATATATTAACATAGAAAACTGCTTTTAAATTGCAGCAATATTACATATATTACTGTTTTACTATATTTTTTGCCAAATAATTTTAGCCTTGGTGAGCGTAAGAGACTTCCTTCAAAAACAAATTTTTGAACAGTAGTGTACTTTATGTATATACTTATTAACACTTATGATATATGAAGTACATTAATAACAATTTTAATGGCATTGCGATGTAAACATCATGAACCTTGTATCAATGCTTGGACTGAAAAAACCACCGCCTTATAGCAAAAAGGTACTATCACTCTTCAAGCCTTTGCCAAGTGATCATTTATGCTAAAAAATAAAAATCTCCACTTGAAGCAATTAACATCCTAAATTAAAATCTAAATTACCCATTTAAACAGGACAAAAACATTAATTACACTTAAAAATGTTCTTTGAAGAAATGTATTGTCTTGTAAAAGCCACATTTGCCTTAAGATGAACTTTTAATGCAGTTTTTCCATTGTTATAAACGGGCAGGCAAGCCGATATAACATATGAAGCTGTGGTGATGCAACATCAGTTCTTTAAGACATTACACCAAAACACAATAAAGCATCTGTGCTAGAAAACAAAACCATTCAGTGAGAAATGTGCTGGAATGCTCGAGCACAAGTCAGAATGTAATCAATGAAATACCCATGCAGGCTCCATTATGCAACTTATCACGTGCTCGGCCTCAGTCAGAACCGTGAAAGGCAGAAACTAACAATCGTCAATTCTCCCAGTAAAGACCTCAATGCAGATGTGACGCTAAATCATAAATGGTTCTTTGTGTGTTTGCGTTGGGGAGAGTGCCTGTGCATTTTCAACACCAGTCAGCTCTTATCCGTGATGTTAAAGCCCTGCCATAAAGGCATGAAAGAGGTGTGAGGTAGGACGTCACCAGGGGGGCCTGGAACAGCAGCCAAAGAGGACGTACTGAATCTGATCCACTACTCAGAGGAACAGCATCTACAATGCCAAATAGTACAGTGGGGCAAATTACACATTAAAACCCAACACAACAGAAGGACACAAAATTAAGCTTTCATTACAAAGCCCCACTTGGACAGAACTTGTTTTTTTTTTTTTTCTGTAGAAAGAAACATGTTTTACAGTAACTTATGATTTTTATGATTTTAATCCGGTCCAAACAAAAGGGTGTATTTTTTTTTTCTTGCACAACTTTTGGCTAAAATAAAAGCCTATTATTTTTCATTCATATTTTGAGATATATATATATATATATATATTAGTCCATCTATATACCACAACTGTAGGGATGTAACCACGAGCCAGTTGAAAATCAATTCAAATATGTGACGATTCAAATCAGTTGAGATGCTAAACAAATTACGATTCAATTAGGGGTAGGAGTTTATATGAATGTATGTCTGAGGGGAACTAACTGTCTTTAGAAAAGTTTAGATGGTATTTTTTCTTTTCATCTTGCCTCTGTATAATGCATATTAAAGTTC